AAAAAAAAAAAAGAAGAAAGAAAGAAAAAGAAAAACAAAAGAAAACATAAATCCAAAACCCAGAATGCTACAAAATAAAAAAACCTTTTGACCACCAACTTGATAGCAAGTGGAAAAAAATTGTACTACAGTACAAGTATTTTGTATAAAATCCCCTTCAGGCCATGTTGTAGAAGGTGTGTATGAAACATAATGAATTTTGTGTTTAGTCTTGGCTCCTATCCCCAAGGTATCTCATTATAATTTTTTTTTTGGTAAGGTTTTGCCTTAGGGCACATGTGCTCACCAGAGAGACAGACAGAGACAGAGAGAGGGAAAGTGAGAAATCACTCCCTGGGGTGAGGGAGATGGCCACACCACAATCCCTTCTCCTCCATTCTCTTCTCAGGATCTTGGGTACACACATACACACACACACACACACACACACACACACACACACGTGTCCAGCATGTTTCAGGCCATCGGGTCCAGGATTTGAACTGCAGTCAGTCACGTGGGAGTCCAGTGACGTCACCACTACAGCATCTGCTGGCCCCAAGATATCTCCTTATATACATAAATATCTCAAATAAAAAAAAAAAATCCAAACACTTCCCCTCCCAAGCATTTCGGATAAGGGATGCTCAAACTGTACTAGGACTCAGTTCTGGGCACCTGATTAACTAGTTGAAGGATCTCAGGCAAATGACTGTCTCTCCATGTCTCGGTTTCCTATCTAGAGACTGAGATGGTGCTGATACCGCACAGAACTCTCAGGTGGATTAGCTGAGTTCATGCAGATCAAGGGCTTAGAACAGGGATTGCTCACAGCAAGAGCTCAGTGATGCGAGTCTATTAAAAAGATTCTGGGGGCTGGCAGGTGGCGTGCTGGTTAAGCGAGCTGGACTCCTATGCGGCCGACCGTGGTCTGAGTCCTGGGCCTAGTAGCTTGCTTTCTCACTTTCTCTCTCTGGTCAAATTTTAAAAATAAATAAATAAATGGATAAAGTTCAATAAAAATAACTCTTAAAAAAAGAAAAGAATAAGATTCTGGTAAGTCTAGGTTCCTGTTTCTCACCTTCACCCTCAGCAAGAATCCTTGGGCCACATTTTCCGTGGCGAGGAGCCAGCTCCCAGTGCTCCCCCTGGTAACCCAGAGTAGAGGACTTTTGCCGGCCAGAGTTAAAATTTTTCCCTAGCTCTGGCTAAAGATTCACCCTGGTCAGGGCTGGAAGGAGACTTTCACCATGAGCCAGAAGTGACCCTTCTCTTGGAGGTCTCTGGATTGGGCCTCTGAGTTCAGGAGCTGATGTCAATCACTGGAGACCCTCTCCCAGACCCGGGGTCAGGTCCAGGTGGTCCGTACCAAGCAGATGCAGCTCAGGCATGGGTCCAGCACAGACGGGAAGGTCTCGTTGTTGTAGAAGATTCTGCCTGTGTAGGTACAGCCTGCCAGGGAGAGCATGCAGTGAGCACCAGCCAGAGGGGTGGCCAGCAACCGGGCCAGGGCACACGTCAGAGGCTTATCTGGAGAGCAAAGGTCAGGCCATGCACCTCCCCAGGCAGCAACCCCCGGGGTTAGGGAAGTGAAAAACACCCCTCTGAACTGGGTGTTGACTCCACACTCCAAGTGCTGGCACTGGATTTAGCAAAAAGATCCATGTCCTGGCCTTCGGTGTTCTCCTCTACCCTTCGCTAGGAGGGATCAAGCAGGGGGACAGTGAGGTACAGCTGTGTGCGAACCTCACAGCCCTCTCTCTCCCCCCAACCTCCTCTCTGCTCATCCCCACTCAGCCAAACCTCAGAATGTTCCCCCAGAACCCCCTCTCCCTGATTCCTGACGCCCAGAGGCCCAGTCTGAATGACACTGTCTTGACACCACCTGCTGTAAGTACAGAAGCAGTAGAGAAAGCTTTCACACGTAAACACACACACGTCTCTTACACGTGGTGTGTGTGTGTCACAAAAAGAGCTTCTCCCTGCAGCTCTTCCCCAGAACCCTGGCTCACCCCAAACCTAAAGAGTATAATAAAATCGTGTGTGTGTGTGTGTGTGTGTGCCATAGGGCACATGTGCTCACCAGAGAGAGACAGAGAAAGAGAAAGTGAGAAATCATCCCATCCCCCCAAGAGGATGACCATGCCACAATCCCTTCTCCTCCATTCCCCTTTCAGGATTTTGGGCACACACGCACAAGCGGCCAGGATGATTTTCAAGACGCCAGGTGCAGGACTTGACCCATAGTTGGCCATATAGGAGTCCAGCACCTTAACCGCCATGCCACCTACTGACCCCTAAAATCTTTTTAGGGGTCAGATGATGCAGCTAGGAGGTGGCATAGAAAGATATAACCATAAGGTTAAAGGTCATCATGGCCCTTTAAATTTTTTTTCTCTTTGCATTTTCTTTTTTTTTAAAAAAGATTTATTTTATTTAACTTTATTTATTTTAATTTGACCAGAGAGGGATAGTGAGAGAGAGATAAGGAAGGTGAGAAAGCAAGCCTCCAGGTCCAGGACTCAAACCACAGTCAGCCATGTGGGAGTCCAGCGCCCTTAACCATCATGCCACCTGCCAGCCCCTCTTTGCATTTTCTAAATTTTCCTTAACAAAATGTTATTTTGAAATACAATAATGGAAAAGATAAAAATTACTACAAGGGTTCTATAAAATGTTCATGGAAAATGTATATTATGAAAAATCTGAGACCAGCAGATGACATAATGGTTATGTTACTGCACTCCCATGTAGTTGACAACAGTTCAAGTCCTAGACCCGGCAACTTGAAACTTACACTGGGTGTGTGTGCATGCATGTCCAACATCCCAAGAGGAGAATAGAGAAGAAGGGATCGTAGCATGGCCATACCCTCGGGGGGGTGATTTCTCATTTTCTATCTCTCTCTGTCTCTCCAACAAGCGCACATGCCCTATAGCAAAAAATCTCTCAAAAAAAGAAAAAGATATGCATGGATTTCAAAATCTTTTGCACCAAAGTAAACATAAACTGTAATTCCACTTCCCATAACTTTGATGTACCCCTCATATTCTAAAATAATCATTTTTATGTCTTCTCACTGTTCTCTAACAGCTTCACAGGTATGGTTCCTGTACCCCCACCTCCACTAGGCTGTATGCTCCGGGCTCTCCGTTTCGTCTTCCAGCACCCAGACGGGGCCTGTCTTGCTTTGCCTGAGTCCCAGGTTTCTCAGCTGTAAGACGGGGTTGCCCCACAGGGTTGTTGAGGGGGTGACCTGAGATGAGCCTGGTGCAGAATGGGCCTGGACTGGGAGCCCTCGAGAATCCCCGCCTTGGGAAGTGGAGAGCCAGATGGAGAATTACCTGCCGAGCAGTCCGGGCAGCACTGTCCGGGGATCCGGATCGGGTGAGGGCAGGAGTCCACGCAGTCTGTCCTCTTGCAGCTCACTGAGCCATCTGCCTGAAGGAAGGAGGGACTTCACCAAGACCCTACCTGTGGCACCAGACCCACCTCCCTGCCTAGGTCATCCTCTCCACCCTAAAAAGAAAGGGCAACACTGCAAACAGGCCAAAGCCTGCCCTTAAAGGTGCCATGATGCAGGAGGGAGGAGGCAGGTTTCCCCAAGGAAGGCAGGCTACTTGGGAAAGGTGATATGAGCCCCCAGAAAGGTTCTGCACATCTAAGGAGAAGAAAGGGCAGGGCGGGGAAGCGCACGCGCGCGCCTCTCCTCGGCTTCCTGTCTTGTGGAGAGCAGCCAGTTTGAGTAAACATGGTGACCTCAGATTGGCCATTCTCCACACTGTCCCTCCCCAGCAACAGCCAGGGCTGCACTAGTAGCCCCATCCAAACTCCGCAGCTCTTCCCCAGAGCCCTGGCTCACCCCAAGCCTAGGGACACAATCAAATCCTATTTTTATAGAAAACGGCTCCACTGGAAATGGCTACTGAAGAAGACCAACATGTCGTACTAACTTCCTTTTATTTTGAGGTTTTTGCTAGAGGGCGCATGCGCTCACCAGAAAGATAGAGACAGACAGACAGGAAGCGCGAAATCATCCCCCAGGGGTAAGGCTACACCGCCATCCCTTCTCCTCCATTCTCCTCTTGGGGTCTTGGGCACACACGCATATGCGCCCGGCATCAGTTTAAGCCATCGGGTCTGGGACTTGAACCGTGGTTGGCTACATGGGAGTCCAGCAACTTAGCCATTATGCCAACTGCTGGTCCCTTATTTATTTATTTTTAAGAATCTGAATGTTCATGAAACTCTTGTATTATATTCTTATAATATCAGTGCCTGATATCAGTCACAAAGGACAAAAACAACACAAAATAGATTTTCCTCCAAATTCTAATTAAAATGAAATGTGTTTACAAGTGTTAAGGTCCAAAGCTTTCCTTCCTTCTTTTACGTTTTTGCCATAGGGCACATGGGCTAGCTGAACGAAGACAGAGACAAAGAGAAGAAAGTGAGAAATCGCCCTCCTACCACCCAGGAGGATGGCCACACCACAATCCCTTCTCCTCCACTCCCCTCCGGGATTTTGGGCACATACATGCACCTGGCAAGATTTTCAAGCCGCTGGGTCCAGAACTCAAACCACAGTTGGCCATGTAGGAACCCAAGCTACACACTTGCTAGCCCCAGGGTCTAAGGCTTTCTTTCTTTTTCTTTTTAAAGAATTATTTATGTGGGACCAGCAGTTAGCATAAGGGCTATGTCGCTGGACTCCCATGTAGTCGATCACAGTTCGAGTCCCAGACCCAGTGGCTTAAACTCACGCCGGGTGTGTGTGTGCGTGCCCAAGATCCCAAGAGGAGAACGGAGGAGAAGGGATTGCAGCGTGGCTGTCACCCTTGGGGGGGTGATTTCTTGCTTTCTGTCTTTCTGTCTCTGTCTTTCTGGAGAGTGCACGTGCCCTATAGCAAAAACCTCTCCAAAAAAAAAAAAAGAAGAAGAAAACACTGGCATTTCATAGAAATGACCTCAACAACCTCAACAGCCTCAACAACCTCAACAACAGGATCTCAGGCTGCCCCAGCTCCTTCAGCCATCTGTGCCACAGGGCAACTCCCGTGAGGGCTGACGCTAACTTCACAGCGGCACCGCGTCTTACACACAGCGCTCACGGCAGACCGCCAAGCTCCACTGTCCTGCGACATCTACGAGGATAGGAGACCTGGGGCCCCAACCCTTTCTGTAAACGTGGAACCTGAGGGCATGGGCGGAAGCCTGAGGCTGGGCCTGAGGTGGCCCAGCCTCTGCAGGGGCGAGGCAGGCGGGCAGCGGGTAGAGCAGCTGAAGGCGAGCACGCTGTCATTCACCTGGCAGATGCATAACTCACAAGGGTCACCAGGCGACCAGATCTGTCCAATCGGAAATGCAACCCCGTTGTCATCGAGAGAGCAGCCTGGCCAGGGGACAGGGGCAGGGGAGACAGTGGGCAGAGGTGCCTGCCAGACCCCTGGTACCACCCCACCAGAGACAGACAGATGCCTCATACCCACAGACACACACCTGCCATTCACACATACACACCCACAGACATCTACACAAACACGCTACAAAAAACACAGACCCACGCTCATAACAGACGAAGACAAATGTACACATCCTCGCAGATCTCACACACACATGCACACACTAAACCGTCTTGGGGGGTGACATTCGACCCCCTTCCTCAGGGCTCCCAAGTCCTGTGCGGAGTGCACCTGGGGGACCTCACCTGTCGTGGGCATGGACTCCCGGCAGGTGAAGCAGCACTGCCCAGGGCCCAGCCACCACTCCTCCTGGGGGCAGTCCAGCTCTGGACATGGTGTGAAGGAACATTCCACCTCCCCATTCTGGAAGACAGCCAAGGGGCCCAGTGAGAGCGGCTCCCCACCCTGGGCTGCCAATGGCAGAGAGGAGGCTGTTGGGCTGCCATGACCCTCTCTGCCCCACCTCACCACCCCAAGTAAAAGTGACCAAGAAATCTCTAGGGAGTGGCAGGGAGGTGGGAAGGGCAGGGACGTGAGGCTGGGGCAGGGCTCTGGGAGTGTGCCAGTCCCACCCTGGGGCCTCCACTGCCGTCTCTGACACTCCTACCATCCCCACTGCAACCACATCTGCCCAGGCCCCCCCAGTCTACTTGTCCTGTGGTCAGGAAACTCCCCAAGCACCCCCGACCACGTCCTCCACCTTCAGCCCAGCTGGCATGATCCTTCGTGACTGAGGCAGGGGCTGCTGGCGCTCACCCGGGTCCCCTGCCCCAAGCGCATCCCACTCCTTGTGGCAAAAGGAGCACATGGAACTGATGACTGCTGGGTGGAGGCCAGCTCGGTGCACCGTCCACACCCCAGAGCTCCCCACAGGACCAGCCCGAGACATCTGCACTCAGCCGTCCCCTGCCCTGTTTCCCTCCCTGGTAAACAGACCCTGCTTCTAGGCAACCCGACCCCACATCCTGCCCGTGGCCTTGCCTCTTACTCTCCATCTGTGCTCCGGCCAGACCGGATGTCTGCGGGCCCCGCCCTCTGCCCACACAGTGCCCTCTGAGAGGCTCAGTGCCCTCAGCTCCTCCCCTGATCAGACCCAGGTACCTTCGGGTCTCCATACAAGAAGGCTCAGGAGCCCTGGCCATCACCCACCAGGCCTCCGGACAGAGGGGACTGGAGCTGCCTGGGGCTGTCTGTGTCAGCAGCACCAGCTCTATAAACAGCGGTGCTGAAGAATGGACTTCGAGGAGACTGGGAAGGCCGTGGGGCAGCCCTTTCAAGCCTTTGCTGGCTCCCTTGTTCTAGGTGGCAGCTGGTGTCCTGGGCCAAGTCCTGAGCCTGCCCCCTTCCCATCACCCACCACTGCAGCAGGCCTCGGGTCTCAGCCGCCCTACCTGGCAGACACAGGTGGTGCACTCGCCTCCCCCGCTGAACACAGCCCCATCCGCATACCACCGGCCGTGGAAGTAGCATCTCACTGCACGGGAGAGAGGGAGAGCAGCTCACGGTCGTGGGTGGAGGCAGCTTAAGGAAAGGGAGAACAGGTGGGGAGGAGGACCTGGGGGAGCAACGCACACCCACAGCACTCCATGAAGACTCCCGGCTTTGAAAGCAGGGAGATGTGAGTTCAAGCTCTGCTCTGTTACTAAGTGGGTATGTGTCTTTTTTTTTTTGGAGAGATTTTTGCTATAGGGCATGTGCACTCGCTAGAAAGACAGAGAGAGACAGAGAGACAGAAAACAAGAAATCACACCCCCCTCCGGCGGGGGATGGCCATGCCACAATCCCTTCTCCTTCATTCTCCTCTCGGGATCTTGGACACGCATGCACACACACCTAGCATGAATTTAAGCCACCAGGTCCGGGACTCAAACCATGGTCGGCTACATGGGAGTCCAGCGACATAGCCATTACACTAACTGCTGGTCCCATAGGTATGTGTCTTTAAGCAGTGACTTCACCTAAGCCTCAGTTTTTTCATCTAGAAAACGGGGCCATAAGTAGTCCTCCCACCAAGTGGTGACATAAAGATTCCATGAGATCAAGTGCTGGCAGGTGTCCCACGGAGCAAGGGACAGGAGCCACCGTGGGAATATCCGTGATGATGAGGTCATCTCAGGACGGACAGCCATGTTTCTAACCAGGGACTGACTCACTAGTGGGTAATGGGAACCCCTTCCCATCCAGAGACAGAGCAACGCCAAGGGTCGGCTCGAACCCCTTCTCGCCTGTGCTGAGGGCATCTCCTGGTACAGGGGAGGGCGGCAGGCAGGACTGGGAGCAGTCCAGCGTCCAAACCACTCTGCACATAATAGGTGCTCAATAAAAATGGGCACTCAGAATACTTCACATGATCCAAGTCTCTAAAGCAGAAATTAACCTCCTTGCTCTCTTCCCGATTCACCACACTCCAATATACACTCCCAAGACACCCCTCCCCTGCACACACAAAAAAGCAAAATTGCCCAAGAGAGTCACTTACCGGGAACACAGTTACAGCAATCTGACTGTGGGGGTGTCTGACAGGGGCCAGGAGGACACTCAGGGGAGATGCAGGACACATTTCCAGCCTAAGGAGATAAGAGATGGCATCCGGGGAGGGGCACAGCGCTCTGCTAACCTCTGGCCCAACACAAAGCAGCCTATTCCCTACCTCACGCCAGATCTCGTCAACAGGCAAGCCACACAGAGGAAGCTTATGTGAGTGGCTGTGAGCCACGTCTTGAGATGCCTTTGTTAGGGCGGTGTTCACAGCAGCTCCCTTTCCAAGACACCTCATTTCATGAAAAAGTTGAGGAGGGCAGACCAGAAGGTAGAGCATGCCAACTTCCTACCAGACGTGCCTAGTCGGAAACCCCACACAGAGGCTGACAGTGAGAACCGAGGTCTCCTTCTCGTGCATCTGAGTTGGTTTTTTTTTTTTTTTTTTTTGAGAGATTTTTCGCTATAGGGCACATGTGCTCGCCAGACAGACAGAGAGACAGAGAGACAGAAAGCAAGAAATCACCCCCCAGGGGGGATGGCCACACCGCAATCCCTTCTCCTCCGTTCTCCTCTCGGGATCTTGGGCACACACGCACACGTGCCCAACGTGAGTTTTAAGCCACCGGGTCCGGGATGCGAACCATGGTCGACTACGTGGGAGTCCAGCGACATAGCAATTATGCTAACTGCTGGTTCCACGTGCATCTGAGTTTTGAATCAAGTGGATTGTATTGGCTATTAAGGGAATTAAATTTAAAAATAAGCTGGCTCTGGAGGCCAGCAGGTGGTGTGGTGGTGAAGGCACTGGATCCCACATGGCTGACTCTGCAGTTCGAGTCCTAGACCTGGTGGCCTGAAAAACTGGCCAGAAACACGTGTATGTGTGCCCAGAATTCTGAGAGGAGCATGAAGAAGGCGGCATTGTGGTGTGGCCATCCCGCCTAGGGGTGACTTCTCACTTTCTCTGTCTTTCTCCAGCAAGCATACACACCTGATGGCAAAAATAATCTAAAAACAGGGGCCGGCAGGTGGCATGGTGGGTTAAGGCGCTGAATTCCCACATGGCTGACCGCGGTTGGAGTCCATGATATAGCAGCTTGCTTTCTCACTTTCCCTCTTTCTCTCTCTCTCTTTCTCTCACTCAGTCTCTCTCTTGGTTAAATTAAAATAAATAAATAAAGTTAAATCAAATTATTCTTTTAAAAAAATCTAAAAAATCAAAAAATGATGAACTGGCTCTGTGGTGCAGCAGCAATGCACTGCGCAAGAAAAGCTGGATCCCACATGGTGACCGCAGCTGGACTCCTGGCCCAGTCGGCTGCAAACATGCTGGGCACATGCATGACTGACCAGGATCAACTGGGGGAGGGGACTGTGTTGTGACCAGACTCTGTGGAGGGTGCTCCTCTCTCTTCCATGTGTGCACGCACATGTGCGCTGTATCCCAAATTAAGGGAAAACATAAACATGTTTTTATACGTTTTTATTAATTGCCAGAGGGTGCGTGTGCTCACCAGAGACAGACACAGAGAGGGAGAGAAAGAAGGAGATAGAGAGGAAGGGGGGAGGAGAGGAGAGGGGAGGGGAGGGGAGGGGAGGGGGAGGGAGAAAGCACCCCCAATGGGGCATGGTCACGCTGCAATTCCTTCTCCATGCCGTCTTCCTATTGGGATGTGGGGAACGCACACACGTTTTTTCAGACTGCCATGTAGGTCCTGGCTCCCTTAACCACTACGCCACAAGGCTGACCCGATAAATACATTCTCCAAATTTGAAGTTGGTGCTGGCCCCGTAATACACAGCACTTAGACATTGCAGAGAGGAAGCCGAATCCCACATGGCCAGCCGGGGTTTGAATCCCAGTCCCTGCAGCTTCACACCAGGCACATGCAGGCCCAGGATCCTAATAGGATGAAGAGCTGGAAGAAAAGGGATTGAGATGGCATGACCAGGCACTGTTGGGATGCTTTCTCTCTCATGTGCACACATATGTTTTCTAGCCTTCACATTTTTTTTCTTTCTTTTTTTTTTGGAGAGGTTGTGTGTACTCGCCAAAAAGACAGAAAGAGACAGAGAGACAGAAAGAGAGAAATCACCCCCGGCGGGGGGAGAGGGGATGGCCACACCACAATCCCTTCTCCTCTCAGGCTCTCGGGCACGCATGCCCGGCGTGAGTTTCAGCCACCGGGTCCGGGACGTGAACCACGGTTGACTACATGGGAGTCCAGCGACATAGCCATTATGCTAACTGCTGGTCCCTAAATTTTTTTTTTCTAAAGTTAAAATCAAAAAGCCTCCAGCTTTGGAGTCAGTTGGATGTGCTGGCTGCTCCTCCACTAACAAGGCTCTGTGTCTGTGATGTGAGATAGGCTGGAACCGCGCCCCTCACAGGGGCTGCTGAGGATTCTGTGAAATGAGGTCATGCACAAACACGCGGCCACCGTGTGTTTGGCTCACAGGAGAGTTCCATAAAGCGTCCCAGCAGCTGCCTACGTGCCTGATCCTACACCACGCTTCCATTCTGGGTGCCAGACCAGGAACCACTTGTAAAGATGGTTAGAGGGTCATCGTGAGGGTTAGGGACAGAGCCCAGGCTTCGCAATCAGACTGACCCTGGCTCACATCCCAGCTCTGCCCCCTCCCGTCCCAGGTTGTCTTTTCATCTGTAGAGCAGGGACAGTAAGCCGACCCTCAAGAGCTGCCAGGAGCCTCGGGTGAGAAAAAATGAAAAGCACCAACTATGGGCCTGGCACACAGTGGGTGCTCATAATGAAAATGTGACAGGACCTGGCCATGTCCGGCACCCAGTAGGTGCTTAGTAACTATTCTTAGAGGACTGAACTTGCCGAAAGGGAAACACTCTTAACAAGCTGAGTTTGGTCCTGAGCCTTCTCCCTTCCAGACGTGGATACCTTTATTGTGCCGGCAAATATTTTGCCTGGAGAGAAAAACCGCCTCCCTGGTAGGAAGTTTCCGAGGGAGTTTCAGCCCCTCCTCTTCCTAAACAGATGAACCCTGTTTGCCTGTTGGCTCTTCTGGGCTCAGCAGAAACCTACCCCTTCCACCCACCCAAAGGTCTGACGCCTCCCTCACCCTCCTAAATACAGGTTCTGACCAAAATCCACACCCTGAGAACTCTCCCTTCCATTCAACAAGCTCACCTTTAACATCCGGTTTCATCCCCCTTCCTCTAAAACCCCCAAAGGTTAAGAAAACACCCCTGAGGCTTTGGGGCTCTTGCGATGCTTACCAGACAGACGCAGACCGTGCAGTTCTCATTGGGAGGTGAGAACACATCCCCTTCAGCTCGGATGACGCCACCGTGAAAGCAGCCTTTGAAAGACAAGCAGGAGGTGGAGGCTTCAGGCCTCTTCAAAGGAGAGGAGACTTGAGGTCTCATGACTTTCCCAGGCATCATGTATCTAGAACCTTCTCTCTGCTCTGGCTGTCCCAGGAGTGGCAGAGTCCGGTACCCTGTGTGGTCTTTGGACCCCTGGGGGACCATCCAGGGGACATCCACGAGAATCAGTACAGTGGCCCCAGGAAGCTCCATGGGGCTTTCATGTTTGAAAACCTCAGAAATGCCTTGAGTGCAAACACTTTATTCTCATAAGGCAGGAAAGGCAGCCAGACAGCTCTAGGTTCAAAACCTGACCCGCTAGCTCTGCGGACCTGAGTGGCCTTGGAAATGGAACTTAACCTCTCTAAGACTTGGTTGTCTTCACTGTAAAACAGAACGGCCACTATGTGCCCTGCAGGGGATGTGAAGGATCTGCAACCTCAGACCTAAAGCACTCCGCGGCCCAGTGCGGGTGCAGCAGTAACAAAGAACTGGGTCAGCGTTCAAAACCTGACCCGCTAGCTCTGCGGACCTGAGTGGCCTTGGAAATGGAACTTAACCTCTCTAAGACTTGGTTGTCTTCACTGTAAAACAGAACGGCCACTATGTGCCCTGCAGGGGATGTGAAGGATCTGCAACCTCAGACCTAAAGCACTCCGCGGCCCAGTGCGGGTGCAGCAGTAACAAAGAACTGGGTCAGCATGGGAAAGCTGAGGACCCTGTCGGGGGTGTCTGTCTCTCTGGGAGAAATCAATACACTTTAAAAATTAGATAAAATCAAGTCTAAGAAAAACATTTATTGGGGCCAGCAGGTGGTGTGGTGATTAAGGCACTGGACTCCCACATGGCCAACCACGATTTGAACCCTGGACTTTGCAGCTTGAAATTCACACCAGACACATGTGCGTGCATGCCCAAAATCCCAACAGGAGAATGAGGAGAAGGGGTTGCAGCACGGCCATCCCCTGCGGGGGATGATTTCTCTCTCTCTCTCTCTGTTTATTCAACAAGCACATGCACCCTATAGCAAAAATCTCTCAAAAAAAAGCATGGGGAACCAGCAGTTAGCGTAATGGCTATGTCGCTGGACTCCCATGTAGTCGACTGCGGTTTGCGTCCCGGACCTGGTGGCTTAAAATTCATGCCGGGTGCGTGTGTGTGCATGCCCAAGATCCTGAGAGGAGAATGGAGGAGAAGGGATTGCGGCATGGCCATCCCCCCTGGGGGGTGATTTCTCGCTTTCTGTCTCTGTCTGTCTGGTGAGCGCACGCACCCTATAGCGAAAACCTCTCAAAAAAAAAAAAAAAAAAAAAAAAAGCATGTATCTAGTACTTTCTATTTAGGGCTCAGTATGTAGGCACAGAGTAAAAGATCACAATTATCACGAAGAAAAGCAGTGTGTGCATTTCTAGCTTAATCCTTAGGAAGACTTTTTAACTGCTGTTCCAAGTCCACCGCCCTCAGTATCATGGCACCAGGAACGCCAGGGCAATGCAGACCCTCCCCAGACCTACTGAATGAGGATCTGCATGTTCACAAGAGTCCCAATGATTCATGTGCAAAGAAAGCTTTGAGGAGCTCCGTTGAAACCTGTTAAGAATTTGGGTCAGGTCCAGTGGTGGAGACACTGGACTCCCGCAGTTCGAGTCCAGGACCTGTCAGCTTGCTTTCTTAATTTCCTTTTCTCTCTCTCTGCTGAGTGTATGTACCTTATAGCAAATTTTAAAATAATAAAAATTAATAAAATTAAATAATTCTTTAAAAATAATAATAATTTGGGTCTTGGGCCAGCCTGGTAACCCAGTGGTTAAGGGAGCTGGATCCCACACAGCCAACCATAGTTTGAATCCCAGCCCTGATGGCTTGAAAAACACATTGGATGTATGTGTGTGTAGCCCACATCCCAACAGGATGGGGAAATGGAAGACACGGTATTGCAGCATAGCCATGGCCCACTGGAGGAGGGCTTTCTTCCTCTTCCTCTCTCCCTCTCTGTCTTTGTCTCTCTCTGAAGAACGCATAGCCTTCAAAAGTAAATAATTCTTTAAAAATAATAATAATTTGGGTCTTGGGACAGCCTGGTAACCCAGTGGTTAAGGGAGCTGGATCCCACACAGCCAACCATAGTTTGAATCCCAGCCCTGATGGCTTGAAAAACACATTGGATGTATGTGTGTGTAGCCCACATCCCAACAGGATGGGGAAATGGAAGACACGGTATTGCAGCATAGCCATGGCCCACTGGAGGAGGGCTTTCTTCCTCTTCCTCTCTCCCTCTCTGTCTTTGTCTCTCTCTGAAGAACGCATAGCCTTCTGGCAATTAAAAAATAAATGGGGTCAGGGCCTGCAGGTGGCATGGTGGCTAAGGTACTGGACTTCCACATAGCTGACTGTGGTTCAAGTCCTAGACCCGATGGCTTGCTTCCTCACTTTCCCTCTCTTTTGCTCTGTCTCTCTCTAGTCAAATTAAATAATAATCAATAAAATTAAATAAATATTTTTTTAAATGGGGTCTAGGGACCAGCAGATAGTGTAATGGTTACATTGCTGGACGCCCACATAGTCAACCACAGTTCAAGTCCCAGACCTGGTGGCTTCAAACTCACGCCAGGTGTGTGTTTGTGCCTAAAATCCTGAGAGGATAATGGAGGAAAAGGAGATTGTGGCGTGGCCATTCCCTTTGGGGGCTGATTTCTTGCTTTCTGTCTCTCTGTCTCTCATTGTCTCTCCAGCAAGTGCATGTGCCCTATAGCAAAAATATCTCTCTCTCAAAAAAAAAAAAGTAACAAAAATGGGGTCTTTATCCTAACAGCAATAGAAAGCAAATAAAAGTAAGAAAATTGTGGGAGAGGGTAGGAGTTAGAAATGACTACTCCAACTGTAGGAGGGACACTGGGCAGGGGAAAGACACTGCAGAGTGGACTTGAAGAGGCCCACTGACTGACTGACTGACTGAAGCTCAGAAGATGAAACGTGCCCTTTAGGGACACTGCAGTACTGACAAGTGGATCTCAAAGTGCAGTCCCTAGACCAGCAGCACCCCCGGCCCCTGGGAGCTTGTTAGAAATGTACACTGTGGGACCAGCAGTTAGTGTAATGGTTATGTCGCTGGACTCACATGTAGTTCGAGTCCCAGACATGGTGGCTTAAATTCACGCCGGGCACGCGTGTGTGCATGCCCATGATCATGAGAGGAGAATTGAAGAGAAGGGATTGCGACATGGCCATCCCCCTGAGGGGTGATTTCTCACTTTCTGTCTCTCTGTCTCTCTGTCTCTGGCAAGCACACCTGACCTATGGCAAAAATCTCTCAAAAAAAAAAAAAAAAAAAGAAAAGAAATGTACATTGTTGGGACCAGCAGATGACATAGTGGTTGTATAGCTGGACTCTCACATGGTCGACTGCGGTTCAAGTCCTAGACCTGGTGGCTTGCTTTCTCACTTTCCCTTTCTTTTTTTATTTTTTAATTTTTTAATTTTTTTGGAGAGGCTTTCGCTATAGGGCGCGTGAGCTTGCCAGACATACAGAGAGACATAGAGACAGAAAGCGAGAAATCACCCCCCAGAGGGGATGGTCACGCCGCAATCCCTTCTCCTCCATTCTCCTCTCGGGATCTTGGGCACGCACGCACACGCGCCCGGCGTGAGTTTTAAGCCACCGGGTCCGGGACACGAACCGCAGTTGGCTACGTGGGAGTCCAGCAACATAGCAATTACACTAACTGCTGGTTCCCTCACTTTCCCTTTCTATATCACTCTGTCTCTCTCTGGTCAAATTAAAAAAAAAAAAATACATTTTGGGAACCAGCAGTTAGCGTAATGGCTATGTCACTGGACTCCCACGTAGTCGACCGTGGTTGGCATCCCAGACCAGGTGGTTTAAAACTCTCGTCGGGCGCGTGTGCGTGCGTGCCCAAGATCCTGAGAGGAGAATGGAGGAGAAGGGATTGCGGCGTGACCATACCCTCTGGGGGGTGATTTCTCGCTTTCTGTCTCTATGTCTCTCTCTGTCTGTTTGGTGAGCGCACGCGCCCTATAGCAAAAACCTCTCCAAAAAAAAAAAAAAAATTGAATTCAATAAATAAATAATTCTTTAAAAAAGAAAAGGAAAATCTTGTGCTGGGTACGTGTGCATGCTTGCCCAAAGTCCTGAGGAAAACGGAGGAGAAGGGATTGAGGTATGGTCACCCCTCCCCCCACCCCCAGGGGTGATTTCTCATTTTCTGTCTCTCTGTATCTCTCTGGAGTGCAAACACGTCCAACAGCAAAAATCTCTCTAAAAAAAGAGAACTGTACATCATCAGGCCCTATCCCAGACCCACTAAATTAGACACTCTGGAAGCGGGGGCCCAGGGAGCTGCGGTTCACAACCTTCAAGTACACTCAGCTGAACAGCCTTTCACTGGAGAAGGGCCGGGGAAGGGACCAGGTGGGACTGTGTCCTTCCCTGACCCAGCTCTCACCTGTGCACGACGGGCAGCACCCCCCATCTCTAGAGGGAACTGGGTGGGAACAAGCCTCTTCACACTTCACTTTTTCACAGGTCACGTCCCCATCCTGGAAGTACACGCAGGAGTTACAGCCACAAGGCCCCCGACGCCAGACTGGAACACCTCCAGGACCCCTTGCACCCACCTTGCACCAGCACTGGGAACATCCAGGCTCGGTCCAGCGGCCCCCTGACTCATACATGGCTCCCAGGTGCCAGCAGGGAGAGGGTCCTGTTGCCAGGACCTCGGGGCCTCTGGGTGAAGAGGGGGTCCCCACCGCCTCCCCCTGGAAGAGTGAGGGAGGCCTGGGGGTCCCCGGCAGTGAGGCGGTAGGCACTGGAGTGGCCATCAGGGTGGAGAGCAGCCGCATCGGGGCAGAGGGGGAGGCTGTAAGTAGTGCCGGGGTGGGAGGTGGCAGGTGGGTGAGCCTGACTCCTGCAGGGGGCCCTGGAGCCCCAGGAGGAGGGCTGTGTCCTGGAGACAAGGCAGGCCTGCCGGCCTCTGGAAGCAGCAGGAGCATCTTGGGGGGGTGCTGCCGGGGCTGCAGGATGGCCGATGGGGCCAGCACAGCTTTCGGGAAAGCTGAAAGGAAGCACAGCACAAATGTCTCTTGAGGGAGGCAGCAAAGGCAGCAGGAGAGATTCAGAAGGACCTGGACTCAAACCTCACAAGTCACTGGATGCCTCTGGGCTGGTTTCCTCCTCAACACAGTGGTCTAACCAGCTGCCGGGGCTGCAGGGAGGAGCACATGATAGGCCTCGCAGCAAAGCACCACGAGCAGCAGCAGGTCGGAGCCCACGGTGCTGGAGGGCAGTCTGTGGTCTTCCGCCTTCCCTCTGGGCTGGCCAGAAGGGAGCTCCAAGCTCCCCAGACAGATCTCTAAGCCCCCAGAGATCCCTCCTGGCAAAAGCCTCTGCCTCTCCACTCCTATGACTGACAGGCTGGGAGTGTGCCCCCTGCTCCCCAACCTAGCCTGGCTTCCCCGGAGGGGATACTGAGGGTGAAGGAAGAGGCCGAGGTCCTTTCCAGGGTGACAGGGCAGCTTCTAAGAAGACCCTGCGCCCAACATGCACACACCCACACACTTAGAAAACTAAGAGGAGAGAGGCGAGACAGGAGTAGGGACGGGTAAGGGAGAAGGCAGAGGAACAGATTCGGAACCAGAGCTGCCGGGAAGAGAGTGAGGCTGGAGTAAGAGGGGAAACGGCGTGTGAGCCCATGGCCATCACGGGCCATGTTGACTGTGGAAAAACTGTGCCATGAGCTAGAAGGAACAGGTGGCCTTCAGCACTGACCCGGAAAGATCCTCACACTGAGAAGCGAAAGCGAAGGGCACGGCAGTCGCCCCTGCTGTGCGTATGCATAGGCAGCTGTGAGCGTATGGTAGTGGCCCGATCCCACCTGCGGGAAGTGGCTGTCACTGGGAACCTAGGCTGCTGGGACTCTTCTGCCACACGCTCCCCTATTGCTGTTGACTTTGTTCCTTTTACCATTTGACGGAAAAGAGAAGAGCAAAGGAAATGGTGAAAAGAGAAAAATGGGCTAAGAAGAGAAAGAAAGTGGGTGTTGAAAATAAGGGGACCAGCAGGTGGCGTGGTGGTTAAGGCGCTGGATACTCCCACATGGCAGACCATGGTTTGAGTCCCGGACCCGGTGGCTTGCTTTTTCACTTTCCCTCTCTCTCTCTCTCTCTGGTCAAATTAAACTAAATTAATAAATAAATAAAATTAAATAAAAAATAATTCCTTAAAAAACATAAGATGAGGGGCCAGCAGTTGATGTAATAGCTATGTCGCTGGACTCCCGTGTAGTCGACTGCAGTTCGAGTCCCAGACGTGGTAGCTTAAACTCATGCCAGGCACATGTGCATGTGTGCCCAAGATCCCAAGAGGAGAAGGGAGGAGAAGGGACTGCAGTGTGGCCATCCCCCTGGGGGCATGATTTCTCACTTTCTGTCTCTCTGTCTCTTTCTGGTGAGCGCATGTACCCTATAGCAAAAACCTCTCCAAAAAAATAATAATAATAAATAAGATGAACTGAAAAAACGAGTAGGTGGGGAAGGAAGAGGGCCTGGTGGAGGGGGGGGTGGGGCCTGAGCAGAGGGCGGGGCCTGGCACTCACCTTCACAGGACACGCGGTCAGCTCGGAGCCGGAAGCCAGGGCGGCATGTGCACAGGAAGCTGCCCACGGTGTTATGGCAGGAATGGTGACACACTCGCCTCTCCAGCGGCCTCCGGCATTCATTTACATCTGCAGAAGAGCCTCGCTGCAGACAGCTGTCTTGTTCCAACTATAGAGCGAGCTCTTCTTCCTCCCATCCCTTAGCCCGAAAGACTAGGTGGTAGAGGGCGGTCTCTCTGCTGTGTTCTTACGGGGTCCACCCCTGCCCCAGGGTGTGCAGTGTGACTCAGACAGCTGGGAGCAGGGCTGAAATCTAGTGCTGCTCTTCAGAAGGTCGTCCATCCTGTAGGCCTTCCAGGGTACAGCAGGGACCCATCCCCAGCACAGAAGCAGTTAGCACTGGCTGACGGGGAGGAGCCCGCTGGGAGTCTCATCTCCGAACCTTCCACTGTCCTGTTTTTCTTCCCAAAAAGTCTTGAAACTCACTGGTCTACTCAAGGTAGGCTTCAGGACAAAGGCCTAACTCCACTAGAACAAGGTCTTTTTTCAGGCCCAAGGGACCCCACCTTCAACCCATGAGCCAAGCTCAAACCAAACATGCCAATCCCTTTCTGGAAATTTCTGCTAATGGGCTAAGAAAACAGGGGTCTCCTTCTAAACCAGAGGAACCAAGACATAACATGCTTTATTTACCAAGGGGAGCAAAGGCAGCCAAGAAAATGGGTGAGCAGAGAGGAATCCTTGGGGTGTATCTGGGAGAGGAGCAGGAGAGAAACGTAACAGGATGAAAGTGGCACGTGGCCAGAAGAATTCCAAGCCAGGGTCTTCCATGTGAAGCCAACCTGGGGACGGGCAGGCTCTGAGCAGAAGCTCACGCCCCTTCAGACTCCAGAGGACCAGGAGGTCCAACAGTTGACCTTTCCCAGTCCCCGGGCTTCCCTGTCCATCTCCCTGATTGGCAGTCTAAGTATGCGAGCTGCAGGGTCCTCCCGGCCTTACCTACACAGGAGTGCCGGTTGCCATGGAGGTGGAAGCCTGCGCGACAGGAACACTTGTAGCTGCCGATGCTGTTTTTACATCTCTGCTGACAGGGGGTCCTCAGGCACTCATCGGTGTCTGAAGGGAGGTTTGGAAAGACGTGGTCCCATCTCCCACCCCATCACCATCTCCCACCCCACTCTGGGCCATGGAGACTACCTTAAGCCCATCTCGTCCTCACTACCCTACCTCAGTCTATCAGCTCCCTGGGCCAGCCCACTTCTCTCCCCCTTCAGGGCTGAACCCTAATCTGGGCCACTTTCGACTCTGGTCTGAGAGCAGCCACAGCCTCCTGTGTCTCCCCACTTCTCCCAGCGCCCTTCCCAAGCCATCCTCCACGCAGACTCCAGGATGTTCTAACCAAAGGGCTCCAACGATCAGGGCACTTCCT